TATTGTTCCTTGCATCTGCTACTTGGACTACTAAGGTTCTATATTGCCCCTTTTTTGCTTAGATTAGTGTATTAGTACTAATGCTACAGGAATGTTCTGTGCTTTTCATCTCTCATATAGTAAAATCTAGAAAGCCAACACAAGGCATTTATTTCTTGGCTTGGGCTCTATACCTTATGTTTCTTCTGTGTATATAAAACCACATGATCTTGTGTATTTGATATGGTTAAAATGAAAGTGGGTATTTGTTTATTCACTAATGACTATACATAACTGAAAGCAATTATTTTCAAAGTGTTTTTCATATAGAATTCTCTGAGCTAGACTTCTTTGGCATATGGGTATCTATGTGAATATGAAAAATGCCTACTATTTTTTAAATTGTGACTGTCCTTGTATTCCAACTCCAGGGTGCCTGTATATTAAATGTCATAATGATACATAGCTACATCTTGAGGTCCATCAGATAATACAGAGGTGATAGTGTGCCCAGGTAGCTAAGAAGGCCAATGGCATCCTGTCTGGTATTAGAAATAATGTTGCCAGCAGGACGAGGGAAGTGATTGTCCCCTTGTACTTGGCACTGGTGAGGCCACACCTCAAGCATTGTGTTCAGACATTAAAGTGCTGGAGTGTGTCCAGGGAAGGACAACGAGGCTGGTAAAGGAACTGGAGCACAAGTCTTACAAGAAGCAGCTGAGGGAGGTGGGGTGCTTTTTTTCTCCTGTAAAAAAGAAGACTCAGAGAGACCTTATCACTTTCTGTAACTACCTAAAAGGAGGTTATATTGAGCTGGGGGTCAATACTTTCTCCCAAGTAACAAGCAACAGGACCAGAGAAAGTGCTCTCAGACTACACTAGGGGAGGCTTAGGAAAAATTTCTTGATGGAAATGGTTGTAAAGCATTGGAACAGGCTGCCCAGGAAAGCAGTGGAGTCACCATACCTGGTAGTAGCTTAGGGACAGGGTTTCCTGGTGGACTTGGCAGTATTAGGTTAATGATTGAACTCAATGATCTTAAGGATCTTTTCCTACCTAAGTGATTCTATGAAATTTTGCAGTATGTAGGGAGGCACATACTTGCCCATCTTTATGCTTCACTGCTGTTAGTACTATTTACTGTGGTTTTAACCTAGGTACTGGTGGTTGTTGTTGATTAGATATTTGATGATTAGACAAGTACTTGTCTCTATGACTTTCTCCTAAGTAGTACAGGGTTCAAGGACTGTTCCTAAGGCGAAGCCTTGGTACTTTTTAATTATGACAAAGGTCTTGCTCTGAGCTATTTGGGACCCATCTTGTGAATAATGAGCCAAGCAACACTCATGTCTTTCTCTGAGTAGCTTCTAGTGGCTAGAGATGCTTGACTATGGTTGTATCTTGTGAAATGATCTTTTGAGGTAGTCTGTTTCAGATACTGAAAGGAAGGATACATTGATATCTGAGCTGTGCTTGATGGCATTTGATATGATCTGATTATAGCCGTGGTGCATATTTTCATCAAACAGTTGTAGATGGTAATGACCATGACTAAGTCATCGTTTGCTGAGTTATTGCAATATTAAAGGGATATCTTTGCACCCATCTCAGTCACAAGAAAGAGCATAGGCATTCCTGGTAAGTTGTGGCTTCAGCCCAGCCAGCAACCAATCCCCACACAGCCGCTCGCTCATGCCCCCACCAGGATCAGGGAGAGAATTGGAAGGGTAAAAGCCAGAAAACTCATGGGTTGAGATAAAGACGGTTTAATAGGGAAAGCAAAGGCCACACATACAAGCAAAGCAAGACAAAGAATTGATTCACTGCTTCCCATGGGCAGGCAGGTCTTCAGCCATCCCCAGGAGAGCAGGGCCCCATACTTAACAGTGACTTGGGAAGACAAACACCATCAATCCAAACCTCTTCTTTCTCCTTCTTTCCCCCAGCTTTATATACTGAGCATGATGTCAAATGGTATGGAATATTACTTTGCTTAGTTTGGATCACCTGTCCCAGCACCTCCAAATTCCTTGCCAGCTTGGCAGTGTGAAAAACAGAAAAGGCCTTGGCTCTGTGTAAGCCCTGCTCAGCAATAACAAAAACATCTGTATGTTATCAACCCTGTGTTCAGCACAAATCCAAAACACAGCCCCATACCAGTCACTGTGAAGAAAATTAGTTCTACCCCAGCCAAGACCAGCACACAGGGTGACTCAGCCTTTAAAAGGAATGTATTCTTTCTTTCTGCCTTCACTAAAGCATTCTACTAGGTGTCATGTGGAACATCTACCTGGTTAACTCAAGGAATAGTATATTGAGGATGACTTGGATGAGGGGACAGGAGATGATCTAAAACTCATAGCAGAAAAAATGGTAACCCTGAGACATATAGGTATACTTGTGCAAATTTGCATGAGAAGTCTCTTCTGGCATTAGGTTCCACTGGTGGAAGCCAGTTTAGTTCAGAAATATGCACAGAACTGAGTAAGACCAACACCAGCAGAAATAACATTCAGTGAAGCAATGACTGTTCATATCTCATAACTTCAGACAATTTTGGACTCTTATGAAATATATGACAGAATAAGGGTATGACAGTAGAGGAAGTGAAGGAGAAATCTCCCAGATCCTGGAGAAATCTCCTGGATCCTGGATATCTTACATCCTTTCATCACTACAGTGATAAATAAGAGATTATTGGAGCCTGCAAAAGACATGCAACCTATGAAGCGATACCTGTTTCTTTCAAGGAATATGAAAGTTTGTATTCTCCTGGTATCATGGTTGTGAGGAAAAAAAAAAGAGGCCTCGTGATACAATATTCAGGGAAAAAATAAAGGAAAAAAAGAGCTGAAGTAGTCCAATTGGATTTGGATATATCATTTACTTATCTTCCAGCCTCTAGGCGTACTTGCTTGTTTATTAGTCCCTTTTCTAAATAGGGTATTTTTCCATTATTCACAGTCACACTTTAATGGACAGTTACAACAGGGATATCAAGAGAAACTAAACTTTGTGACCAGCTTACTTCCAGTCAACTGGCAGCCACAGCTGTGGTGATGACAAGGTCTGACTTAATGTTTGAGAATTCCATGAAAGTAAAAGCTGTGATCCTTCCACCAAAGGGTAACTAGTTTCATTTATATATTTTTTTTCCCTTTGTTGCTGTGCAATCAGAACTCTTCTGTGGTGTGGATGCTGGTTTTAGGAGTCTGAAAAATCTTTTGAAACTAATTTCACTTTGTCTTGGCTATTACCTCCTACTTCTGTGAAGCCTGTATTTAAATCAGTGTAAACCAAGTAGTTCTGGAAATTGTAAAGAAATGGTGTATTCTATTAAATTCCTATCACATTTCATCATCCTTTTTCATGAATACTTCCAATAAGAGATGATGGAGAGAGGTATCTTTAGAATACAGGAGCAGGGAGTACTTATCCCTTAATTTTTTCACCAAAATTAAGAATCTCATATTCCAGATCTTTGATAGTTCTCTGCATTGGTCTATCATTTCAAGTCTCAGTTGACTACTTTAGTCTGCACAGCTCCCTAGGTGAATCTTCAAATTTGGTTTGTGGTTATCAACTGTCGGGATTTTTCTCTTCACACGTGTTCAGCCAGCCTGAGAATATACCTTTGCTGTTAAGGGCAGCTTGTTATCAGCAGAGTCTTGCTCTTCAGTCTTTCAAAAGTAGTGGTAATGACTAAATGTTTTGAGGTCATGAAAGTGCCCATGAGGCAAAGGATCCATACTTTGACTCAAATGTAGGATTAATGAAAGCAGTGTTACTTTTACATTTAGCTTGAACTTGTCTCCAATATGTGAGAAAGTATGCTTCAGAATTTGGTGAGAGCCTCTGGCACCTACATGACATTATTTCAGTCCTCATCTCATCTCCAGAGATAACCAGTAGATAATTCAGATGGCGTGTGTATATATGGCGTTGAAAGTCCTGCAACAGATTCTCTTCAGATGTGCAATGAGATATTCTTTTCTTATATACTTATTTCATCTATACATCTCCTCTGAGTTATGGGTAACTGGTACTGGGTTTTGAAGATATACTTTTTCTCTAATATTTTAAATGGACATCGTGTCAACAGACAGGAAGAAGGATTATTAACTCCGTGTTTTGTGTTGGTTTCTTCGCCTCCTCTGCATTTTCAGATTTTGTCAGCAGGATAACCTCATCAGACAGCACAGCAGTAACAGATTTTTTTCAAGGGACTATTAATGTACATGAGGGAACATCCATCAACTACTGTACAACTGCTACTACAGCCATGAACTCGAACTGCTAAGTTTTAATCACAAGAAGGCTCCAGCTTGGACTCCTTGCCTGGATCATTCTAATCACCCAGGATCAGAAATGAGTCGTCTTCTCACATACTATATATGGTACAGGAGGCCTTTAAGAAACTGAGCTGATGTTGCACTGAAGGTTGACAGTCACAGTGTAGGCACTCAGGTATTGTTTGGTGTTAGCTGAACCTAGTTAACTCCCCCATTCAGTTCTCAGTCCCTTTGCCTGTTCTACCTGATATATACCTTTGTAGTACTGGACAATTCCTGTATTGGTTTTTGTCGACTGTGTCACTACCTCAGATGACCTGCATGCTCTTTACTTGACAACCAGTGAAATGCATCTGTTTCCTGAGTTTGAGAGCTTTCTGTTCCAGTGTTAACTAGGTTGATTTACTAGTTAATTGAAAGATGTTTCTGACTAATCTAATGGCATTCTCTGATGGAGTGATTGCATCAGTGAGCAAGGGAGGAGCTACAGATGTCATCCACCTGGATGTCTGTTAGGCCTTTGATACAGTCCCCACATCATTCTGGCCAGTAAATTGGAAAGTTATGGGTTTGATGTGTGGACTGTTAGATGGATAAGAAATTGACTGGATGGCCGTGTCCTAAGAGTTACTGTCAATGGCTCAGTGTCCAAATGGAAACCAGTAGTGAGTGGTGTCCCTCAAGGGTCCATATTGGCATCAATACTTTTAATATCTTTGTCAATGACAGACAGTGGAATTGTGTGCACCCGCAGCAAGTTTCTAGATGACACCAAGATCAGTGATTCAATTGAGCTGTTTGAGGGAAGGGGTACCACCCAATGTGACCTTGACAGGCTTGAGGATTGGGCCCATGTGAACCTCATGAAGATCTACAAGGCCAAATGCAACAACCAGGTCTAGTGAACGATGTTTCTGTTAATGCTATACACATGTAATCTTCTTGTATAGGTTTCTGTTGTAACAAATTCTCAGTTGTAAGTAGCTCTTATATCAGTTTAAATAGTATGAGAGTCAATCCTTGGAACAAGCATCTTCATGTTACAAGCCAAAGATACTCACAGATCTCATTTCAGATTCCTCTCTGACATGATTTTGGAATGCCATATGAACCTATCTTCTGTTTCTTTGCTAAATATAAATAAAACTTGAAAGATTTGGGCTGGAATTAATCTCCCTCAGCCTCATACATCTGAAAATCGTATCTTTTTCCATAGTAAAGGGATGAAGAAATGAAATAGCTTATTTTACGGTCTTGTATGAAAATACGTATGTCTAAATACATATCTTTAGATAGTCATATCTACAGAATAGTTCATCTCTTTTCCTTCTCCATTGACTATTGAAGAAATTTAGACAACTTGCTTACTGTTATTTACATAAGCTGAGATGAATTTGATAATTGTGTTATGTTATTTCTAAGAGAACAGTTCATATAGGAACATGGTTTTTGGGGAAGATAAATATCCTTTCTAAGTTTATCAAAGTGGATCTCAAGGTAGAAGAACACATTAGGAGCTTGGTTGTGGTAAAGTCATTTTGGTAGTAGAAAAATGGTAGTTTTTTTCTAATCAAGTTCTGCCTAAATAGTGCTTGAGCATTTCAGACACCTTTTCTTTGATAAAGGATTCTGAATTTGTCCGTGCCCAATGGATTGAACTCTTCAGTGAGTATTTGAGACATGTTCCTTATTCCCACCTCAGAATAATTGGATGCTTGCTGGTTAGTAACCAAGAAAGGAGTCTGTATGGGAAGAAGCGAACAATAGCTGTACTACTCTGAAATGTGTTCTCCACATGGATTCTGAAACTCTGGCTCCTTCCCCACTCTCATTGAATTGTCTGTTTCCAGCTTGTATATCAACAAATGAATGAAGGACAATGCTGTGCATTGTACTCTCTCCAGTTTAGAGAAAGATGGGGCATGAGCCAGTGCTCTGTCAGTTCCAAGTTTTAGCAGGATTACTTGATCTCAGGTAAATAGAATTCATATACTACAAGGCTGTAGTCTTACAAGCAACTTGAGCCAGTTCGAATATAGGTGACTTTTGAGAAGTCTGTTCTTCTTCATCTCTCCCTCTGTGAGCACCTGTGTTGGAGGAATTGCACCAGGAATGAGATCATGCTGATCAGTATAACAGGATTTAAAAAAAATAATAATAATTTTGCAGCTGGATCAGTTCCTTGATCACTTTTGTAGCCTGGCAGCCTTAGCACAAGCTCAAAGGGAGGAAAGTCAGTACTTCTGTGTACAGTGGCAACTCTTGTTTACATAAGGCTGTCATTCGACAACTGCTTTAAGCCAAATTGTAGAATCCATATGGATGAGATATCTGAAGCTGTTATTGAGAAGGTATAAACTTTTTTACTGATTTTATAAAGAATAACTTTCAAAGTGCTTTACTTTGGTGTATGGAATGGACTCATGATTTTTACTATCTGTCTGCAAGACTTATGTATAAAAATGCTTATTGGGTATGTAAATACAAAATTTATGGATGAGAAAAGAAACTCGTGTATGTGTCTTGCATATTTGCAATACAGATTTACAACTCAGTCCAGCTTCCACTAAAAGCAAGGGCAGAAATTTACTTGTTCAAATTTGCTTTCTAAAACTCTCTTTTATGTTAGGTGTTGATTGCACAAATCATCCACATAAACAAGCTTATGCCTCATAGTTGCAGAAATATTACTTTTTTCGTCCTTTGATATTTTATCAATAAACTACAGGTTTTACAGCGTATAATGAATGTACTTTTTACATTAACATTTCAACATGGTGTCTAAGTATTTGGAAGTGAATATAAAATTGTCGTTATTTGGGTATTAAAACCTGGGCAACACTTTTGATTTGTTGCCATATCCTTGGGTAAAAGGTACAGAAGGATGCATGATATATCTCTTGTGTAGTGACTTGTTTTTCTTTGTTATTTTTTTCTTGATTAAAAGACATATGGTTTACCAGATGAATTAAATATTCTAATCTTCTGACTTTTTTTTCTCTTTAGGTTGCAGCAATCTATAAAGATTCAAGTATTGGAAATCTTATAAATATAGTTATTGTCAAATTAATTGTAATTCACAATGAACAGGTAAGGAAAATAAATATTTAAAAGATTTCTTTCTAATATAAGAAACAAAATGCATGAATTTTCATTGTAATTACAAAGTTTAATTTGTTTTAGTTTTAAATACAAAATATTTTCTTTAACTGTAAAATTTTGTTTTAGAATAGGAGACTAAATGTCAAATGTGAGGTTAACTTTAGGGTGTGTATTTAATACCTCTATTTCCCTGTCTCTCTATTAGCACCTCCAGTTGACCTATATTGACATAAATCAGATAGTATATGAAAGCTTATGGCATAACAACCTAAAGTGTGGTTATACACGTGAAAGTCTGACAGGGAAATGACATCTTTTATAGAGTGCTTTGATGGAGTGTTTTCAGCCCTAGGAGTTGTAATATTTTAAGACTGTAAGAAGTATATGCTTATCTAATATATGGGGTTTATATTTATTTATCATAAATGTCACTTTTAAAAAAATATTTAACACATGATAAATGCTCACATTGCATTATTTAAAATAATGGGTTCTCATGACTGATGACTTGTGGCTTAATTCAGATCTGATCCTAAGGGAACTCTTACATGACTTTCCATGCACAGTCATTATTTTACAGATTAGCAGCACAAATGACAACACAGTAAGTGCAAGTGCATGAATATTAAACCAGTTATTTGATATTTTTGACCATTTCTTGCTTAGGAAGGACCAGCTATCACTTTTAATGCAGCTACTACACTTCGTAATTTTTGCTTATGGCAGCAATCACAAAACACTTTGGATGACACTCACCCTTCTCATCATGATACTGCTGTTCTCATCACTAGGTACAGTATCTAAAATAGCCACAACTACTCAACTAGGTAAGACAAATGCTTCAGGTTTTTTTTACAACATCAGCTTTTAACCATTCCCCTGACATTGTTCATAGATAGCTGAAGTGAATGAAGACTATCTTCTGCTTCCCAAACCACTGATTATCAATACATGAACAATTATTCTGACTATGCTGATAAGCATCTGATGATCCTTTCATTAAAGATGATAGAAATTACTTAGACTTGAAATTGTGACAAGGAAATGAAGTCTTTAGCTATTGTACATTTGTGTGATAGAGGCAGTGTTGTACTTAATGGAATCAGTGAAGGATGCAATGATGGTCAGCTCCTGATAGCCCAGGCGTAATCAGAACAATCAAAAGCTTAAAATGGAAAATATTTAAATATTAGTATGTATTCTTCCTGTGCACCAATAACCTTAGTGAAGGTTCTGATGTTCATTCATTGAAATAGAATCTCTCTTTTGCTCTTCTTTTTCACTAATATTTCCCCCCAGTGTGCAAGTTGGACACACTCCAGCACATCACACTGTTTGATATTAGTCCTGAATTTTACATTGTTAATTTGGCAGACGGTCCACAACATAAGGTGGTTTCAAGTATATTGCAATCTGCATGTTTTTCAGCAGCATATCATAATTGTCTACTGTCTGCATTGTAGAGAAATAGCATAGTATTTTAAGTTTTATTCTTTTCACACTAGATAGAAAACAGTACTGTGAGCTTAGTCTGGTGAATTTAAATTATTTCTTTCATTAGAATACAAATTGTTTGAATGAACTGTGAGATTAAAAATTGAGAATCAGATTTGCAATTACTTTAGTATAGCGACAGTGAATTACTTTAAAAATATTCTTTTACATGGTGTAATAATTTTAAATAAATATTTTTCTTCAAGGGAAGATATCTGCAGAGCTAGAGAGAAGTGTGATACTCTTGGTGAGTTATTCTTTTTTAATCAGTATGGTTATATTACAAAATACATGAGAATTTCACTGTACAGAGAAAAATCAATTAGGAATAAATCAGAAAATAGAACCAAAATTCAAGTCACACAGGCAAAAATAATTGTTTCTCGTTTCTTACTGCTGTTGTCTCCTGGCATGTAGTTTGGTGCCAGGGGGTTGTATAAATTTGCTGCATACTTGAGGAATGACTTTCAACCATAGTATTTGTTGCACTACATAGCACTACATGAAAATTCGTTCTGTTAAGCATTTATTTAAGGATTCAATTTTGCAGGTTTAGCAGAGCTAGGTACAATGTGTGATCCACTACGCAGCTGTTCTGTAAGTGAAGAAAATGGATTGAGTGCTGCTTTCACTATAGCACATGAGCTTGGACATGTGTAAGTACCTATTTCCCGGCAGGTAATTTTTTTTATTTCCTTTTGGATACAACCAATTTCCAGTGATGGGCTCTACGTTTCTAAGAGAGCGCAGTCTGACGTGTCCTTTTAGAAGAGTCATTATTTTTGCCTCTTCCAGTGAGCCAGCTCTGCTCGTCACCTAGAGGTAAAGAAGTTGTGAAATTTATAACCTGGTTGGTATCCTGAATTGTAGGAAAGACTGGCCAAACAACTAGGTTCTGTCCTTTTGTCATATGAACTGGTTGAGACACTGGGACATACCCTAGGTGTACAACATAGCCCTGCTAAGTTCAACTGCATTCTAACCCTGCTAGGAATTTACCTTTAAGAAAAGACAATTGTTAATATAACACAGAAATATTCTTCCTTGTGTTTGATCCTTTCAGAATACAGTAGAGTAAGACAAAGAGAAATACTTTACACAGAAAAATAAGAGGAGATGACAGCATTTTATTTTATGAAGCATACCTCATCAGTGATGGCAGAAAGGTGCTATACTCTAGCTCCATGAGGCATGCTACTGTGTAGGTAACAATGAAGTTACAGAGCTCAGTAGCTAGCTTGTTGATTTCCATGTTCCTGCAAGTTCCTTTAGACACGTGTTATTTGTCATGGTATTTAAGCTGAGATGTAAAATAAGATGATGTCTTAGTTGCATGAAGTATAATATTAATGTGCTCTGTAGTTTTTGTTACTGAATAGTAAGAGTTACGATGGGAATATTGGAGTAACATTTTGTGGACAGTCTAGCCATGACCTGTATATACAGTTGAGGAGAATATACAGTGGCATAATCCTAAAACACTGGAATTTTTCTGTTGAGCTAAAAAATTATGTAATTGTAAAATTCTTCCTGTACCCAGGAAGCTATTTGGATAAGGAGAGAATTATATAAGGCATTTTAAAGATACCTATTGCCATAATATCAGATAGATATATTGAGTTCCATTAAATTTTAAGGCATTTTCAAGCTCGTTTGAATTGAAAACACCTTTGTTGTTATAGCAAGGAGAGTTTTAGTTAATTATTGCTGAACTTGTTTTGGAGTTTGTCTGTTTTGCTTTTTAGATTTAATGTGCCTCATGATGACAGTTTTAAATGTAAAGAAGCTGGAATTAAACATCAGTATCACGTAATGGCTCCAACTTTAAATTATCATACAAGTCCATGGACCTGGTCAAAATGCAGTCAAAAATATATCACTGAATTTCTCGAGTGAGTGTCAATATAATGCTGTGGTTTAGAGTGTTATTTTTCTTTTTTTTTTTCCAATTTCTTGTATTTCTGAGAAGCATTTTAAAGGTATTGCTTAAATACAGTTTTTGCACTGCTCTTTTGTTTAACCTAAGAGGGTTTAACTTGTAGGGCCTTAGTCCTCCAGAAAAATACATGATTCATGACTTTGTTAAAGTTGCACTGAACATACAAAGCTAAAGGATTTTTTATTTTTTTAAATGTAGTGGCATAGTTTATTGAAAAAATCTTCAGTATGATTTTAATAGGTTAGAATAGGAACTGTTTATTTTCTGAAGTTTTTATGTAAAAATAAATGATAAGTATAATTTAGGCAGTACCATCTTCTTTTTCTTTCCTTTTTTTTTTTTTTAATGAGCAATGTCAACCAGAAAAAAAACCAACTTCATTTTGTTTGGTGGATCTAAATGCAAAATGGAAAAAAAAGGAAAACCAAGTAACCTGGTTTAATTATTCATGAATTTTAATTAAAGTCATTATATAGGCAAGTAGGCATGCAAACCCATAACTCCACTGAGATATACATGTGTAAGTGTTGGATGAGTAGTGAGAAGGTTTCCAATGAATTAAGAGTGATTTATTCACATTTTGTTCCTGTTTTACAACAGTACTGGCTATGGTGAATGCCTCCTAGACAAACCTAGTGAAAGAATATATGATCTTTCCTCTCAGCTGCCTGGGTCAATGTATGATGTCAACAAGCAGTGTGAACTTACGTTTGGTATTGGGTCACAAGTGTGCCCATATCTGGTGAGTGAAAACCAGACAAAGTTGTGCTCAATCTATACTAAAAAGTTACTGAAAATTACTGGTTTGGGATTAATTTTATCCTGAAATAAGTAAAAGTTCAGGTTATATTCTTCTGAATGGGGAAGCATTTAGTGCACATCACTGCAATTTCATATGCAAGAAATATATAGAAATAAAAAGTAGGATGCATTCATTTTGATTTCCACATCTGTGATTGTGATAATTCCTTTAAAAGATCTAAAACTGCATAAATTAAGGCTTCCTGCAACACTTTCTGCAAATGTTTTCATATTATTGGTCATATCTTACATTAACAGGTCTTGCTTCTCTGCTTCTTTTAAAAATTTATAACTTAAAAGCTAATATGTTATCTCAAACATTTGTTCTAAATGGTCCAAAATGACTCCCTACTTTCTCAGAGAGTGAAAAAATATTTTCGAGCCTGATAGAGTGTACATTTTGTACACAAAATTGAGATATGGAAAGGAAACTTGACTAGGTTAATATTGAAACTTAAGTTGTATTGTGAAAACTTAATATGGCCATTTCAATATAAACACAAATAAAACATTATGACTTTATGCATTACTGTGAGGATGTCAGTGTTAGATTTTGTACTAAGTTGTAAAATACCTCTACTAATATTGTATGGCTTGTTGGAGCTGTTCGAAGGAGAGGATTTAAGATCAGATTCAGACTGAATTAAGTGGAGGTGAGGCAAATTGTTGTTTTGGAGGAGTCACGCTTTATGGGAATATTATAGAAAAGAAAAGGAAAGGGTACTTCAAAGACTGAAGAAGGTGTTTCTGAAGACTGCTTTTTAAATCCTATAATCCATAAGGGTTATTTGTCTGTTAAGAGTCTTTTAACGATTTGAAAAGGAGGCTTTCTTCTTAATTTTATAGGCAGTATATTTAATTCTTGTTGAACTCAGAGCCTTTTTGTGGGGAATTTATGTGGAAACTGTGCTGCATAGTATTATCCATAAGCTCTTGCATATTTTTAAATTAATTTTCCAACTGAAATAGAAAACGAAGTTATCTATTACTCTCATGGGATCACTTTCAAATATTCCGCTTTGCTGTTTGGCCTTAATCAAGGTCTGTTTTAATTTTGTGGCATTTTATCTGTGGAAAATGGTAGTACTAATAGCAAACAGTAAGCCCACACAGTATGAGAAAATACAAATATCACAACTACTGTCTAAAATGGTGTTAAAGGTACAAAAAAGTAATCTGTTTTTCTTTTCAGAAACAATGCAAACGCTTATGGTGCACAAGCACAGAAGGTGTTCACAAAGGTTGTCGTACTCAGCACATGCCTTTGGCCGATGGAACGATTTGTGGTGTGGGAATGGTAAGCATTGATTTGTTTCTCAGTGCTTGCAATTTTTGATGTAGATAAGAAAGATCAGTGCTTGCTGTGTGGCAATACTGTGCCTGTAGTACACTGTGTGAAGAGTGTCTACCTGGCTTCACCTGCAATTCTGTAATGTTATGTTATAAAAAATATAATTGTCTGTTCAGAGTAATTATTAAAGTTTACAGATGTCACATTGGTTAAAAATAGGTGAGAGAACTCGGGGAAATGGCCATCTTTCCTTCTGTGAAAAGTTCATGTCATGCATAATAACTTATTTTTTTTCCTGATCAGTAGTGCTCCAAAGTAGAATTATCTGAAATATGACATCCCAAAACTGTTTTTCCCCCAGTTTCTCTTGTTGAGGCTGTTTCACTGAACCAAAACAAATTAAGTATGAGTCACTTAGATACAGGTGTGCAACTTTTTGGAAAGAGGGAGTCTCTGGATTAGCACCTGGTTTCAGCAGTTACTTGCACATTGTATCTGTTTCAGACAAAATATGAAAGTATGTGTCAGTACCTCTTCAACTAGTCCAGGAAGTGCCTTAACCACACATAACTTGTGTTCATTTTCTGTCTTGCCTATTGTAACATAATTCAGGATACTTGGATCTGTTCAGTGCTAAAAACCGGAGCTGTCTTCTCACTTATACCCTAATGTGTAGGATGTCCTGGCTGTCTGAAGTATGGATTGAATGCTTTGACAGATAAAAAAAAAGAAGTGGAAGCTGTGTTTCCTATAGCCTGCTCATTGTTTTATTTGGTAAAGAGTGTTTGGATGATGAGAGTGCTTCCTCATTTGGCAGTTTGTTTTCGAATGCAGATCTTGATCTGTATCCTTGGATGATATAACCTTTCTTGACCTGTCCATAAGGGTCATGAATATCTAATTAGTAGACAAGGCACTTTCAGAACCTTGATAGAAGCAGAAGTAGTGGGGGAGGCTAGTTGAATCCAGTTACCAGTGGAGACTCGAGTTTTAGTTTTGGATTTGTATGTAGTTTGGGAAGTGAACAGAAATTAGGTGCTTGAGTGCTTTATTGGTCTAGTCTTTGGCTTTTTCATGTCTCACTTCACCACTGGCAAACAGAACATTGTGAGAAGAAATATTTTTCAGATTTTTTATATGTTCAGGTATGACAGTGATTATCTAAGTAGGGATGTTTTATTATGCTGAGCTGCTTTTAACAGTAGTGTGCTTCAGGGGCTGTGGGAACAATGTTAAATTTTTTTTTTAAATAGTTTTATATGTTCAAAGTATTAAAAAATCTAATTTAATTTCTATGTATAATAAGCTGATACATTTCACTCTGTTATTTCTAAATTTCCCCCAATAACTTTTAATCTCTACAGACTGTGTTTAATAAGACAATATTGGTGAGAAGTTTGAAAACAGTGTCTTAATGGATAACAATTTAGGCATTAAACTGTCTCAAATGGTTTCTTTCTGTCTTGCAAGATTATAAAAAGTTACTTGCAGGTTGCAGTGGAAGCTTTGCTTGATTATAGTCTACCTATGCAGCTGGTGTTACAATGTTTAACCTGTTTTTCAGTCAGTCACTGATCAGAAAGGAAGTTCATCTTTTATGTAAACTTCATGTGTAATCTTCAGTTAAATTGACTCTACTTTGGCAGCATCAGAGGATTTCTTTTATATAAGAATACAAAAACCTTTTTTATGTAATTAGTGCTGTAAAACCATTTTTCTCTAGGAAGTGAAGAGCTAATTACAGTCATTACCTCTGAAAGATGTAAGAAAGAACAGCAATTAATTAATCTGACAAATTGTCCTCTGTTTCTGTCTAAGGGACAGCTCTTTTCAAGTTCAGTCCACAAGCTGCTGTTGATGTTAATGGGTATAAGCCATTAATATTTAACAGCAAGCTAAATCAATTTATCTTTGGCATTTGTGACATTATTGCAGTGATGAATACAGAAAAGGTCCATTAAAGGAATTTGTTATTTTAGTATCAACTTTCTAAGCCTAACTTTCACAGGTTGTGTGTCTGATTAATGGATCTAGCTCTATGGACTACTCTAACAGTTCTTGTGTTTTCCTTCCCAAAACTTACAAGAAGATAGAAATCTGATAATTTCAGAGACTCTTAAGCATATTAGCAAACAGCTTTTCCTGAATGCTTGCACTTCCTAATGGAATATTTTCTTGCCATATGCAATCTATCAACATGCACACATTTTGAATACATTTGTTTTGTATGTCTCATGGTGCACACGTCTGTAGAGCTCAGTGACTTCTTAATATATATATAATATGCGCAGTAGGTATGGGTAGCATTTTCTTAAAACATTAAAGGGATAATGCAGCCTAATTCTTCAGAGTCTTATAGACAATAAAGAAAATATTTTCTCGAGTATCTGAACATTGCCTGTATTAATTCTACAGGGTTAATATTATTATCTATAATTATTATTTCTCAAAAAGAAAACTTTCAATTTTACTTCAATTTGCTGACTCGTTAAATTTCTTTGAGCTGATCAAACTGTACTTTGCTTGTCCTAGAATTGCCTGTAAAACTTAATTATATTTGCTTGTTGGGCTTCTGCTGAAATATCTGAAAATTTCTCTTCAGCTCCTGTTATGCATTCTGAGCGCTAAGGGTTGACAGTAGCCTATAAGTAGCAATTCTGCCATGTCTGAGTAAAGTTTCTCACTTCATCACTACTCACGTTGTGTCTCATCACTTCTGGTGCTGTTTGTCTATTTGGTTTCACAAAGATTTGTAGGAACTCTAAGTTTCTTCCAGCTCTTCTAACATCAAATAGACCTTCCCTGAAGCAGGGAGTGCAGCCTATTCAGTACTTCAGAGACAAAATGATAGCAAATATAACTAGACATACCGTATGTAAACACTTAACAGTTTTGCAGGGGTGAATTTCTACACACCATAGGACTACATTAGTCATTACTTGAAAGTGTTTCTGGTGTCCTTTTATGAGAGATATTATTAGACACAAAGGTTTATATTATTTATATATTCCTGAGTCGTCTTCCTAAATACAATTATATATCATAACTACAAAATAAAGTTTGTATTAAAATTTTTTTTGTCATGAAATGGGGCACAATACCATGAAAATATTAGATGCTTAGTGCTTTTTTGTGTTTTGTTTCTGTCATCAAAGCTACTATGGGAGTTTTTTTGAAATTAAGAACAGTGCTGTATGATTATGCAGTTGTACCCTACACAATGGATGCCACAGTGAATTTTGTAGATACAGTTGCAATTGTTGTTGTCAAGGTATAAACTATATATAAATTAAAAGCATAAATCCAAATAAGAACAGTATTTATATGCTGCATTGAGGACCAAGATAGCAGAGGATGCTCCTATGCATTACAAGATATATGAGAGAATTGTTTTCCATTAGGACAGAAACTGAACTGCTTTAATTGGCCTAGTTTTCTTCTCTTAAACGTCATTATTCTAGTTGTCATGTTCCAGATAGGTGCTAATTTGATGGATGTTTAGGAAACGTGAATAACTTAGAGCAGAACTTCTAGCCCTGCTTCCTCTTAGGTTTTCTTGTTGCATTCTAGTCAAATATTTCTTTGTGCTTTGAAATTTCTATAGACCAGCAGACTCTTGTTTGGATTATAATTTCAATTGTTTTTTTTATTTTATTATCTGTTTCTTTTATTTTTTGGATTTCTGTAGTGAGGAGTTGACTTGCATTTGTCCTCTTGGGATAGTATAAATGATTTTTCCACACCTTAAACATGAGAAGTTTTGAGGTGTTTTATTAACCTTCTTTCTAAAATTCCAAAGGAGTGAGTTTGGAGAGTGATTCAGGTTTTGGTATTTTGAATGTCTTTGCTCATATTTAAAGAAACCCAAACAAAATTCTAAATCTCTGAGTACCAGTTTTCATAGTGTGGCTGATGACATTCAGAGAAAATACTTAATCCCATTTCATGGTGGATCTCATTAAAGGGAGTAGGAAGCTAGAAGTGTTATGGAAAATAAATATCTACACTATTATATGTAACCAAATTAGCTAAAAGCGAACTGATATACAAACTCTCCTTACACATCCATCTCCAGCTTACACCTGGCTCAGAATCATGGCTTCTGTATAATGAAGTTGATGCAGTTTTTAGCAGTGTAATTTATATGATATTCATTCCAATAATGGTAACTCATCTGTTGGAGTTAGTGATACACATCTGAGCCTAAAAAAAAAAAATCTCCAAAGAAAAATAGTTGTTGAAACCATCTATTTTCTAGGAGTGGCATTCTCAGAACAAGTTGTTTTTGCTATGAAAATAACAGCAAAAATACCTAATAAAGTGTGGTGGTATTATATTTTGAGACACTTTAAAGGGTTACTCTCTGGTCCTTCCTGGATTCCTGAGGAATATAGAAATATGCCCATATTCCATTGATTCCTTGGACATTGGAATGGAGAGGTAGGAGGTAGCTATGTGATTCTGACCTAAACTTTTCCATGTCCTGGAGTAGTCCCATTCTATATAATGGTAGTTTGCTACTTAAACACTGAAAAAAGCAAATGTCATAGAAGTCTGGAAAAAAACTGTTTAACAGCAAGAAGGAATTCACATGATAGAAGTAACAGTTTCATTGGAAAGCATGTGCCTTTGTCTGTTTTAGAGAAATGTTTACCACTTCTATTCACTGTAGATATATAGTGTATATTGAGCTAGCATCTAAAAATATCTAGAATAGGTATTAAGTGAATTAAGATTTCATCACTTTAACATAGAAGATAGGGTTATAGGGACAATTGAGAATAGGGATGCAGAGCAACAAAGAATTGCTTGAAACAGTAAAAGAAGTACCAGCCTGATTCTGAAATGTGTTTGCTGTTCTTCAGTTGTAGGTTACTGCTCATGTATTGATTTCTATTAAAAATCATTGCATAGCTTGACTACCTCATGAATGTAATGCATTAAGAGTTTTAATCTGAAAGAATAAATCATTCTATGTGTATATGTGTAAAGTAAGTATAAAAAATTCAGATGGATTTTATCAGAGTTGAGTGATAGGGGGATATGTTCACCATCTGGAAAACAGCAGCAGATCTTTTGAACTGTAAGAACAGAGTAAAGTATGGGCTCAAACCAAGAATTTTTTCTATAAACTGGGATTTCACAGAAATACTTTTCTGATGAGATATAATTACAGAAAAAGCAAAAGTTTCAAGGGAAAAAATAAAGTATGCAGATTTTTTGTAAGAATAAATTGAAAATGTTGAAAAAAATAACATTTTGTGGGGTTTGTTGATAATGTGTTTGAGTTATAAATTTAGACTCGTCTGAGAATCCGTGCTACAGAGAGAGAGAGACCTGAGATGCTGTGGTTACAACTTCAGTTAGATATCTTTGCAAGCTCCATTCCTTCTGTCTTGTATACTCGTTTTATTAACTGCTCTGTTTTTGTTCCTTTTTTATGCTCTATGGTCCTACTCTCATCTTGGTTCTTAGAGCAGTGTGCTTTCTGGACTATGGGTATTATAGGACGGAGAGGAGGCATAGGTTTAGTGTACAGCAAAAGGTTTTGTTACATCCACTTGCAGTTAAGACCGAGGCCTGTAGCAGTACATTCATTCAAGGGAATGAATGGGAACACTGCACAGACATGGACACAGGCAGCACCAACAGGAGTTTGGCATTCGAGTGAGTGTTTATCTTCACTCCCCGCTCTTGGGATTTTCTGCTGAATCTGTGTAACTTTGAAGATTCATACCCCTTTCCCAGCTCTGTGTGATTGCAATCTTCTTTGAGACAGTTCATGCTCATAATTCAGCTACAGACCAAATGCATCATAGTGAACTGATCTGCTGCAGCACTGTTTAGGGTTTTTCTGTTTCATGGCTACCAGCTATGCCCGTTTTCCTTTCCTGCATTTAATCCACTGTAACTTTCTCTTCCTGTGCTATTCACAGGCATTCTCAGGGTGCTGTTTGGATTGTATTTTATAAGGCAAAAAAAAGAGTCAGAACAAAAGAACTGGATATTTGGCAGGCAAAATACAGACCTTCATGGCCACTTCTGCAATGCTTTGTCCATTTCACTTTCTCTCCATACTTGTCTTTGGTGTTCAGTCATCTTATTTCCTTTTAGAAGCATCAGCAGCTACCAGTATCATCCATGGAAACATGTTTGTATCTGGAAATAAGCTCAAGAAAACCTATTCATCTCTTTTTCTGCAAGGCTATGTGGGGCTCCAGTGCATGGAATGATGTCCTCATACACTGAGCATCAGTGTGTCAGTCTTTGTCTTAAGGTCTTCAAAAACCATGTGTATATCTGTGAGTAGCCTGGAAAATATAGGCAGTAAGAGTGAACTTGGAGTTCTTTTCCTGCTGTGAGTCATAAAAGGCTGTGTAGGAAGTGCTTGATTTCAGAGGAGCTCTAGTCCTGTTCCGCATGCATCTGTCACTCTCCTTGATTCAGTTGAAATCAAGCATAGCCTGGCAAGTAATGCTTTAATAATTTCTTTCAAAGTTGCTTTCCTGGAAATTTGGCAAATTCAGTAAGAGATAAGTTGGAAGCACTCAAAGTCAATTTATCAAATCATAGGGTAATCCATAGGTAAGATTCACACTGTTTATTATAAGCAGGTTATTAAAAAATACAAACCAAATTTGAATCATTAACCCTCCTCTCATCTCTGAAGATATAATAATTAGATGCAGCTTTGAGTCAGAATTTCTGTCTTTTTGACAGAAAACCAACTGTTGATCTTGGCTAGAGCAGTACTGTAACTTACTGCAGTCAGTATGTTTGGAATTGTGATACCCACTTTACATGATGCATACATTATATTTGCCATAAAAAATGCAGAAAAAATTGTTTAGCAATTATATTTAAGTTTATGGAAGTTCTGTATATCCTAGTGTTCTCAGTGAAGCAATGATTCAATCAAGTACAGAGGAACATCTGGAACATGTCTGATGCCAGAGTTTTCTACCGTGACTTCATCATGTTGCTTCAGTAGGAATGCAGCGGAATAATAGCTAAGACAAGTTTGTTGAATAAGCTATTAAAATCCCAGATGTGAACATATGCTTTGCATTTTTATGGGTCAAAATAATGCTGTTGTGGGTATAAAATTTCATTTTACAACTCTCTCTTTTCCTGAAAGTTCCCTTCAAGTTACTGTGAATATTTTTCTGGATGGAAGAAAAACTTAAATGCTAGGTCATTGTCACATATTTGAATGCAGTATTTGTTTTGTGAAGGAGGATTTAAAATCTTCAGCCTATAGTCTAAAAAATTATTTCCTAAGATGCTAATGACAGTTTTTGGAAAGGCAAGATTTTAATATTTCCTCATTTACATTATGGCTGCACTATCTTTTATTGCTAGGTACTTGATGTTAAATACTAGAAGATTTGTATGTAAAGGTACCAGTACCCTAAGGGCATCTTGAAAAAAATAACAAAAAATAACAGTAAGCACTCCTGTGAGACTTCATATGCACATATATAGTTTTCTCGGTGTTAAGTTAAAGCATTAGTCTTAACATCAAGCAGGTGATGATCTGGCCAATTGACTGGATCATTTAAATGGTTATATGAAAAGATAGATCTAGATTTTTTCTGTATTTGCTTAGGGCATTACAATCACCTGGAATGGTCATATTCTTAGAGGAAGGCATCCAGGACTTAAAAGATATGGCCTATGTGCAAGAGTTGGTGTGATGAAGAGTTATACAAGCAGGCAGTTTTGTTATCAGGTTGAATTAGGAACTCAGGCAGAACCCTGAAAAGAGAATCAGATTCTGGAACAAATTCCTGTTTTGAGAGCAAAATGATCAGTAGCAAAGAACATAAGTACCAATATAATAAAAGCATATACTAATTAGGAAAAAAAAATCATTTAGGTATTATTTTATGCAGTAATAAAACCGCTGGACAACATTTGAGTTTTGTGGCATTTGGCTGTATTCAGAAGGATTGCACACAATTTTTGTGTGTTCAGTAAAATTTACATTATTTGGTGGTTCCTACAATAAATTTGTAAAATGCTGTAGTTGTAAAAAAAGGGGTGTAATCCTTGAATTATTTTATCTTTTGTGTATCAGAGATTCTGAAATTGTTTTATGTGCCAGAGATTTTAGTTACCCAAATCCTTCTAGGTAATACAAGACTGTTTCGTGTTGTAGAGAGGCAAAGCCTAAGCTTCAGAAATAAGAAACAGTTGAGTAGACATAATCTTCTCTTGATGATTCTAGTGACTGATCCGTGTATATACTGCAGGGAAAGATGGAATAAGCCACTCCCTGTCCATATGAGTTGGAGAATCCCTCCTGACTACGAACCTAATTGATGATCAGTCTAATCCTGAGTCTGCAAACAGGCATCTAAAATAAAGAATTCTCTCTATTATATATGAGCACTGACCCCATGTATTCAGCCCTGCCCAGTGTCTTGTCTCCAGATACAGGCAGTCTTTGATGCCTCGGGTGGTGTTTGGAGTCAAGGACAAAGTTGACACATTATCCAAATAGAAGTCAGCAGGATACATTGTTCTGATATTATAGTATCTTGTAAATATTCTGTATTAGTATGTAAACTATTCCACTATGTTGTGATCAAATATACCACTTGGGATTTTCTAAAGCATACAAGTGAATTAGAATTCCAACTGCCATAAGTCATCAGTAGGATTAGTGCTGGTAATTCCTGTGGGTTCTTTGGAAAAAGTCACACATGCATGCACCAATCATAAGATTCTCATTTAGACTTTTTAGTCATGTACTGTCCAGTCAGATACTGGACAGTAAATATTTAGAAGCAAGAGATAGATCACTTTATGCTTCCGGGAAAAAAAAACTGTCTATAAATAATAACCATTTACAGTTACAGTGTGTTGAGGTCTCATAAGTGGCACGACTACAAAAAAATAGTTTTGCAATCTTTGTCTTCTTAATAATGTAAATCCCAGCAGATGAAATAAAAATTTCTCCTTTATGTAAATTTTTAGTTGGAAATAGGTAGTTCTTAACCAGGAAAAAAATCTGAAGTAACAGAATAGACATTGTAAAGTAGTATCTTGCTCTAAGAATTATTATTTCTCTAACTATTAATTCCATTTTAATTGTAATAACAAATTTTTTTAATTAGTAGTAAATAAAAAAGGTTTTTTAAAATAAAAATAAAATATTTCACACCTTTTGTTATAGGCATGAAAGTCTGAGTTCAAACATGAATCTATAGCATCACTTTGCTTTACCATAACCAAGGTCTTAAATGCTTGGCTACTTTTCCCAAACAATCCCACTAGATAGTTAGCTTTTGAGATGTTCAAAACACCCTGATTTGCTTGGTGGTTTGTTACGAGTTTTCACTCTTTGTATCAGCATGAATTCTAAATTAAACTGGAAAATCTCAAACATAAAAGACAGTTGTAAATCTATTTTTGAAGTCTGTGCAAGAAAACATATTGGGAATCCAAGACTGTAAGAGTCTTGTAGAAGCATTTGGACAAAGTGAGAAGACTTAAATATGTATTCAGCATCCAGTAGCTTTCATAGTGAGCAAAGAAATCTAGACAGCATTTTTAAAAATATGAGTATTGGATAAGTTATCTCAAAGGAAATTGAACATTTTAGAAAATATCTGGATCCAGATAAGTGTAGTGAGCTCTTAAATTTTGTTCTTTCTGTGGCTAAAATATGCAGTAAACTTTTGCTTGGAATTAAAAATTTTATTTTATTTGTCAACCGTGCAGCACTGCCGCCATGGAATTTGTGTGAGCAGAGAAATGGAGATGCGTCCTGTAGATGGAGAATGGGGGCCATGGGGACCTTACAGCTCATGTTCAAGAACTTGTGGAGGTGGAATCAAGAGCACCACCAGGCTGTGTAATCGACCAGAGTATGTTTTTTATTGTGTTTTACATTAGTGCATAATGAAGATATTAAGAAAGAATGGATTGGTTCAAATCAAAATGAACCAATTGTGAGCTGCACAAATTAGTTTGAAGCACCAGTAAAAACATGCTTGTTTCAGCCGTGTTTGGAAAGAGATATAGGCCTACAGACTCTGATATGCAGAGGACTTTTAGATCGCCCTTGTCTTTAAATAATATAATTTATACTTATAGATGTTTCCGAAGACTTACATTGGCAGGGTCTTTTTTTTTTCAAGATTAACTGTTGAGGTTTTTTTTAACATTGAGATGCTTTCTTTCGAGTAGGAGCTGAAAAAAGAAGTATATGTATTCCCTACTAATCTGTTTAGTGAAACTCTTGATTTGCTTTAAGGCTTTTCCATAACATCGCCACGAGTAATGCCCCACAAGGAACACTGGTTATAGCAGAGTCATTTACAGCTTAGCTTTGTAATGAGAAACTTCCATTGAACGAATAATTCCGTGTGAGTTTCTTTCTCTGTAATAAAAATCAAAGAGAACTTTACCCTTGACTTGTCCAGAACCAGAACCACAGCTGCTCCCTGGGTTGTTTTGGGGTTTTTCTAGGAAGTCATGCCCACTTGATATTATCAGTGGGATAAATTAACTTCTATCAGATGGTCCCAGGTTATTTTATTTTCTCTGATGAGCAAGAAGCAGTAGACTAGATTGCCATTAGATCTCCTCTATCAGTCTGTAGTAATTGATAGTATCAATATGCCATTGATTTATTCTTGTTTTCCCCAAGAACATACTAATACTGAATTATTTTGTGTCAGGGTTTATGACTGTTAGGAAATGTATTTTAGACTTTACAGTAAATGGGGTGTTTTCCACAATTTTCCCTTTTTATTTCTTTTGATCCCCAAACTGAAACCAATATTAGGACTATAGAAAAGAGTGTGTCAGCTCCTAATTGTCTTCTTTCTTTGTCATTCTGTAAAATAATAATTTCAAATTACTGAGGAGATGCTGCTTCTGAAAAAAATAAGGCTATATTCTTAGCTCAATGAATAAAAGCATTAAATAATGCTTTTTCCCCGGCAAAATAGTTATTAAGAAGTAAAAGCGTAATAGGCATTAATAAACATCAGTAGCTTGATTACTACCTACCTCAGCAGTAGTATTTTACAAGTATTGTTTCATTTTCTTCTCTTGGGTATAAATGAATGCGCAGTGCAATACAAGTTAAGTGTGTGTGTGTAAGTCAGTAACAGCTGACAGAATGCTGTGTGAGATTTTGCCTTTTATATCAGTGGCTTGAGCCACTTTTAATGGAAAACAGCAATTTTAGAAAATGAGTGTGTTTTACATTTACCTTTTTTTGTTAGGCCAAGAAATGGAGGAAAGTACTGTGTTGGTCGCAGGATGAAATTTCGGTCATGTAATACGGATTCATGTCCAAAAGGCAAAAAAGATTTCCGGGAGCAACAGTGCTCTGAATTTGATGGCAGACACTTCAACATCAATGGTCTTACATCTGCGGTTCGCTGGCTTCCAAAATACAGTGGTAGTAAGTAATTATGCATTTTTTAAACTAACAAAATAAAAATGTTACTTTAATTAAAGTTTTAAAACAGACAAGAAACCTGTTGGATTTTCTTTCCAGTTTCTATGAAAGATCGCTGTAAACTTTTTTGCCGAGTTTCTGGAACAACTTCCTACTATCAGCTGAAGGACAGAGTTGCTGATGGTACTCCCTGTGGAGCAGAAACCAATGACCTTTGTGTTCAAGGCTTATGCAGGGTATTTAAATCTAAACTTATTAATTATTAAAATCAATTTTAGCAGATGGTAGATATTAAATATTAATCCAAATAAACATTAATGAAAATACGATGTTCTGAGTTTGCTTAAGCTGATTTTATTCCCTATCAAATTAGAGATCTAGAAATTGAGGCAATTAAGCGAAGAACATATAATTGAATCTGAAGACCCGGAGTCTTGCCTCATTAAGCCTCATATGTGAGAGAGTTAATATTGTCCATGTAAGTAGAGAGAAACTGATACAAAATTGAAATAAAGAGAAGAAAGGAACATGCTGTGTGTTTATTACCATTGTATTTCTAGTACCAGAGAAGTAAAAAAGTAGAAAATCCAACGGTAGATAGATTACATAATTATTATTTCATTGTAAAATCAGGAGGAACTTCTTTGCTTAATAGCAACTATGGCATTGCCACAAGATTTTGCTGGGATAAGCAAGATGCTATGTTATAACAATTCAAGACTTTTTTGTCAAGCCCAGGTTGTTCTGCTGATTGCAGTGAAGCAGTAAATTCAGGATGAGGAGAATATGTAGCTTTTTTTATAGTGTTGAATCAAGAGGAAAGAGGAAATGCCAGAAAACTGTTCTTTTTATCATAGTTCAATAAAAAGGGAAGTTTAAGTAAAGATACGTAAACAAAAATTGTGCTTGTGTTAGTTTAACCAACATAGTCTACGCATATTCCTTTGCTTATTTTGCAGTAATGACAGACTTTAAAAGAATTGATGACCATGTACACGCACATACTGCTTTTAGGATTCCAAGACTTTTAATATAAATATAACTTAAAATTTATACACTATGTTGATTTTTTAATGCAAAATCTTTATGTACTGTTATGTATTCTTATACAGTTCTTTACATATTAAGTCTTCTATTTGGATTGTACATTCTTAATACAACAGCACCACTGTGTTTTGCCCTTACATCTCAGCACCAAAAAACTTAAAAGGCTTTTAATGAATTTCAAGGAACATTAGATATATACAATGAACAAGAATATTTTGGGGTAGTGGGAAGCTTACATTGTTTGTTTTCGCTGTTTTCCATTGGGACAACTGACACAGGGCTTTTTTTTTTATTTTTTGTAGCAAGCAGGCTGTGATCACGTTTTGAATTCCAAGGCAAGGATAGACAAATGTGGAATCTGTGGTGGTGATAATTCTTCATGTAAGACACTTGCAGGTACTTTCAACAGTGCTCGTTATGGTATGTTTGTTTTGGTTTTGTTTTTTTTTTTTTTTATCTTAATGCATATTTCAGTATGGCTTCGATATTATGCTTTACATTTAAGGAAGTAGGATATCAGTGTATGTTCTTTAGGACTTCTATCAACAAAAAATATTTCTGATTTTCAGTCACGTTCCCTCTTAAGGATGCAGAGGCAAGCACTGTGACATAGTAACCCATTCAAGTGGCAAGAAAAGTCAGTCTGCCCTAAGGTCAAAGCAAAAGATATGAGTAAAAGATATGCTGAGAATAAAAGTATTTTAAAAGGAAGAATGCTTCCTGCTTTGTACTTTGCATTCTCTTGTCTGAAACTATGCAGCTGAAGGACATATTCCAGTGTCTCCTTTTGGTTGTGTAAAGAAATAGCAAGAAGTCTGTTGTGAGCAGCTGATGGGGTTCCTTTTCTCCTATAGTGAAGAAAATAGCCTGTGAAATGTAAGCCTTATCTTTCCAGAGAACAGGGATAGCAATATTTATGTTCTTTCCTCTTCATTGGCAGGTACTGAATGAGAATCTTCTGAATAACCCTGGTATTTCCTATTTATTTGATTTAGTTTCTCTAACAGAGCTGCTGATAATTCTTCTATATGTAGTCTGTTTTGGGAAGTATGGAGAGACTATTGTACATGTGTAGCAGTGCAATTAAGTTGTTAGAGCACAGAACATAAGGAGAGAAGTCTCCAGGTTAGTATCAGCCTAAAGGCTCCTTCATGCCACTTCACTGGTTGGAAGAGACCACAGGTGAAGTGAAAATGATACCTGGAGAGCTGCCAAATAGGATCTTCATAGAACAAAGCAGTTGCTGGTGAAGAGAAAAGTATGCCAAGTGTCCTGTTGGATTTTCTCTTCCCTGGCAGAGGGCTTGCACCAATTGAAAATTACCAAAAATTCTGAAGGTGGGATACAGGTACCTTTCCCATACAAATACGTGTATTTTTTCTTGTGTCTGTCCTGAGAAGCTGCTTATAGGTAGTACACAAATTTTGTCACAAATACATTTGTTACAATTCAAGTGACCATTATGTGAAACTACTATTTATGCAAATATGGTTGTGACTGTCACTCTCTTGCTGTTCATCAAATTTCCATTGTCACAGACTTATTTGCTTCAAATTGAAGTTGGAAGGGAAAAAAGAGCCCCATGTTTTGGCATGAGGAAAACCTTGATTTACTATTTGGCTTTATACTTAGTTGAATGTTTAAATTATGTTCAAGTTCTTGGAATTATAGCATATAAAAGATGATACTGAGTTGTACTACTAGACAGTATGCTAAACATTTGGAATTATCATTTAGACGTGCTCAACTAGGAGTACAGCAATGCAAACAAGAGGTTGTAGTTAGCTGACCATTAAAACTCCAGTGTCCATGACAGGTCTAAGACATCCCTAGGCTAATGACTGAAGACATTGTCTGAGGAAATATTCTTTTCCAAAACCTTCTTAATTAGGATAATAAAATAAGTATGCCAAAGTCTGTGCACTTGATCTTTTTCTTATAACTTCATTTGGTTCCATTTCATACTGAAATAAGTCATTTTACTTGTAAGGCAGAATTTGGAATTGGCAGTAGCAGCCTGTGGTATGTGGTTGTATTCATGCAGTTATAATGTTGTCAGTAACTGTTTAAACTGTAGTGAAGCAATCATCAAAAATTCATTACAGCAAAACGCTAATTTACTTGGCTACTATTTTAGGAAATGGTAATCTAATTATGTACACATGATTATTATGTTGGCTATTATTATTGCATCGCATTAGAGTATCTGAGGATTTCCTGGACAATGGTCATTCTCATTGCCCTAGTATGTGATCTGTTCTCTTTGTGTATCCTTGACAGTGTGCTGTGCAGTTTTGTTTATAATTTCCCCCCGTATTTTGTCTTCTTTCATTCTGTTGTCACAAGGTCTTTAATGTATGAGATGAGGGGCTTTTTTGAGTGTGTTTTGGTTTTTTGTCCCAGTATGCTGGAAGATTGACCAAGCCATATTTATCCAGAGCTTGTCGTGTCAATTTGCAATTGCACTGCTGCCCCCAGGTGGTAAATGTGATAGACCTGTAATTAGAAATCATTTAAATGTGTGGCATAGTTTTAATAGGTTAAAAGCACTGGAAAGTTAGTGAGTTATGAGATTTGTCATGGTTTAACCCCAGCTGGAACCACACAGCCAGTCATTCACTGCCTCCCAGTGGGATGGGGGAGAGAATCGGAAGAGTAAAAGTGAGCAAACTCATGGATTCAAAGACAGTTTAGTTTAATAGGGAAAGCAAAAGCCACAAAGCCTCAAAGTAGAGCAAGGAATTCATTCACCGCTTCCCATAGGCAGGCAGGTTTTCAGCCCCAGGAAAGCAGGTCTCCATCACAGATAACAGAGACTTGGGAAAACAAATGCCATTTCTCCGAACATCCCCCTTTCCTTCTTTCCTCAGCTTTATATGCTGAGCATGACACTCTGTGGTCTGAGATATTCCTGTGGTCAGTTGTCCAGGACACAGCTGTCCTGGCTGTGTCCCTTCCCAGTTCTTGTGCATCCCCAGTCTCCTCACTGGTGGGGTAGTATGAGAGGGAGAAGAGGCCTTGACTCTGTGTAAGCTCTGCACAGCAATAACAAGAACATTCCTGAATTATCAACATTTTCCAACACAAGTCCAAAACATAGCCCCATGCCAGCTACTGTGAAGAAAATTGACTCTACCCCAACCAAACCCAATACAAAAGGAAAAGAATATTGTCATTTAAATTTTTATCCACAGAGGTGAGTCAATTAAAGTTAAATCCCAGCAAGATTGTTAAACACAGTGAAATAGATGGAAAAGTTATCAAAGCTTATATTAATACTTCAGATTACATGTTTGTGTTTATTATTTGTTTCCAATGTTTGCCTTCCTCAGTTTTTCCTTTAGAATTTGTGATTAACATCTGTGAGAAACAGGTTTGGATTTTTTAACCTATGTTTATGTGCAGAGTGACTGTTTTAAGAAGTAGATCTTAATGCACCTTATTTTGTTACCTCATGACAAGGCTACCATAGTAGTAATTGGAGATATTACAAGAAATGATGGCTCATTTGTGAAGCATTTGTATTTTAAAGGGAGTGCAGTCAATCTTTAAGCAGGAGAATGTGGACTAAGCATGGCTAATTTAACTGAAACATCTGCCTGTGCATATGGCCTGAAACACTGCAATATTTTAGACTCCTTTTTATTATTATTTTATTATATTCTTATTATTTAAGACTCATTCTTTAAAGTGCTGTCATGAAATACTGTTGTGAGAGAAAAACTACCTCAATTGTATAAACAGGGAATTGAGATATTTCTTGTTAAGTGACTTATTCAGATTTCTATAAAAGTTTTGTGGTTAAATTTTGAGGAGTCGCAGTGTTTCCTGAGTCCCACTTGATATACTTGACTGCTTTCTAGAGGAGTGCTGCTCTCTAGGGATTTTTCTGAGTAGGTTGAACTCATGTTAGTGGTAAAGAGTTGAATTTACTTTTCTGAACACAGAACCTAACACTTCCTAGAACATGAGGGCATTCAGCATTGGTTGTCTCTGGCGCACTGTAGGGTTTTGTGAATAAAACTGGTTAAATCTATGTTCATATTTACTAGTATTTGACTATTTTTCTATATAATTAATTTGTGAATAATTACATTGCAGGTTACAATGTTGTAGTAAATATTCCCAAAGGAGCAACAAACATTGATATTCGACAGTACAGCTACTCAGGGAAACCAGAAGACGACAACTACCTTGGTAAAAGCCTCCTGTGTACAACGTTGGTGATAGGTTTTGTGCTCATACCAGGGATCTGTCCCAGACATGTGTATTATCAGAAGTCTGATAAAGATTTTAGATGAAATATCTAATTACTTTGTATATTTATTTGCCTGAGTCTCTCAGTGGATATTAGTTTCTGTAAAAATGAGTGAGATATTATTAGGTTTCTGATTCTTAAAGGAGTGCGTTATTTATCAGATAAGAGGAATTATAGCATGTGGCATCATTTTGTCAATTTTTTACTTTGTTGTCACAGTGTTCATTAAAGTGAACTTGAGAATAATGCAGGTATTTGTTGTTTTAAATCTTGGAAGCATACACTTTGTTTACAAACAAAGCAGTCTGACCATCAGGAAACTTATCAGTTATCTCATATTTCTCTTTTTCTATCATGTCTGAGTATAAAGGTCGTTGATATATTCGCATGTGTGCAGGTAACAGAGAATTCACAAGCTCATTGTACCAAAAATCTTGGTTGTTCTATTTCACAGTAGTTACATTGTTTCTGAAGTGCCTGAAAAAATATTGATGCATATTTACTTTCTGTCTCTTCTTCCGTTTTCATCCTAGTCAACAAACTTCAGAGTTCTCAAAATGTTTTCCTTGTCAGCTGTTGCCCACATGCAGCTCGCAGGACACAAAAACAACCCTACCCCCGATATTAGCTACCATTTCAAATGTAGTATCACCTGAATAGCATGCCTGTACTACAAATTCTACCTGATTTTAAAAAGTTTAACTTGTCATTCATCTTCATTATTGTAGATTAGTCATTGTATTAAATGACTATTATAAATACTTAATAATTTATTTTTACTTTCAAGTTTACTTTTGAAAGCCACTTCACTAGAAGTAGCTCTAGCAAATACAAGGATGTGGGCTGTAGAATAGGGCAGAAATACAGATAATTATTGTTTCCTTCTACATAGCAGAACCTAACCAAATTTAGAAGTCATGACTGCAGTCAGCCCTTCAGCAGAACAAATATTATTATATTAGTATAATGCAGAGAAAATCCATGGCAACTGCTCAGGTGAAAGTTACTGATGATTAGGATTGAATTCACTCATTAGAAACTATTTGATACAACTTTATACATGGACTAAAATAAAGCTAAGTGTTGATAAGAGATTTTATTGATAGAACCTTTTAATTAAATAGATACTTTATTTTCAATATTTTATTTCACTTATAGCTTTATCTGATATTCATGGAAATTTTATCTTGAATGGAAATTTTGTTGTAAGCATGTCAAAAAAAGAAGTCAATATACAAGGAGCCATTTTTGAGTACAGTGGGTCAAACAATACGATAGAACGAATTAACAGCACTGATAGAGTTGAAGAAGAGCTAACCTTACAGGTGCATGTTTACTTTTTTCATAAGTTTGAAAATTTCCTACGTGAACATTATGTTCATAGTTTTATGTCCATATTCACTGAAAAACAGCTATCATTTTATCTCATCAAGGTTTTGTGTGTAGGGAATTTACACAACCCTGATGTGCGTTATTCATTCAATATCCCGATAGAAGACAGAAGTGATTTATTTACGTGGGATCCTTATGGACCCTGGCAAGACTGCAGCAGGATGTGCCAAGGTACTGTGAATTATTTTTTCACCAGAACCAAAAACCTGATGGCATTTAGGATGAGACTAGTCCTAAGTACTCTGATTTTTCACCCCTATTTGTAAGGAAGAAATTTATTACTCTCAGTAAACTTTAAGTGCACAGAGCCCTTAAGGGCACAATAGCTTCTGATTTTTGTTTTTACTATTTTCAGTACTTATGCAATGCAATTCTATACTCAAACCTACCTTTGTAGACATAGGAGTGGTTTGTTAAAACAAAAGTTGAATCAAGTCTAATGCATCCTTAGAAAGCGGTATTGTATATCTACTAATATGTGTTAGGTTCTATTATCCTATTTCTAGATGGTCACTGATTTGTCTAGTATTTTTCTTATACATTTATTTGTCTTTTTTTGTTATCTGCTACAGGGGATGAAGCTCTTTAAAAATATATTTTACTATTTTATACTCTTATTCTATAGGCCATTCCAGTGTAAAAATAAAGGCACAATATTTATGAAATGAGTGTATAAAACTGTATGTACAGAGCTTTTTGACAGATACTCGTATTAGTGGGTGCTAGAAAAGCCTGAAGTCACGTGATGATGAGTTTCTTCTGGTTTTGAGTCTGGCTGTAGATATGATCATGTGCTAGAGAAGCAACGCATCTGTCAACTGTCAACTGTGCTACTTCTCCCAGCACTCAGGGTATCTTTTAGGTACCCTGTGATCAAATTTTCTGCTTCCTTAAAGGAAAGGATCACAACCTCTTAGTTGACATGGTGGTTTGAAAATATGTTAATTAGCAAAGGACAGACATGATACATTTGGAATACTTAGCCTGATGAGTGAATGGACTGTTGCACTTTCGTAGCTGATATCCTGTAAGACCACTGTAGGACAGCTGGGAGATGGCAAAGATCACTGGGACAAGGTTGTTCTCCACCTGGAATGTAGTCAGCATATTTGGGCAGAATCTGCTGTATACGGTGATTAGTGTTAATGGGGTATCTCAGTTAAATTCCTAAATGATGAGAGGAATCCATAAGGCACTCTTATTTTAGCCCCTTATTTCCTTTTTTGGTACTTTTTCAAGGTATTCGAAGAAGGAGAATGACATGTATACGTAAAAGTGATCATGTAGTAGTGTCTGATCAAAGATGTGAACTTATACCCACTGTACCAAGTGTCTTTGAGGAGTGTAATACAGAGTGTGAATTAAGGTAAACAGAGGTTCCTAACTGATTGAGCTATTATGGTCTTATATGTTTTTTTTAATTGAGATTGAAACAAAGTAATTCAGATTGCTTTATCCTCTGTCCCTCCATCCCTCTCTACCTCCCTCATCCTTCCCATCTCTCCTGCTTCTCCTCAAATCTGTTGGCATAATGGGTACATTATATTTACACTTCTGAATCTAAGTAAAGCTAGGGTATTTTTCTAATTTTTATTGGTAAAGTACAAAGTCTTTTGTCAGGATTGTGAATCAGTTCTATATATTCTGGCACAAAAACTTGTATTGCCGTGTGGAAAACATTTTCCATCAGAATTGTACCCACAACTGGAACTAATTTGAAACAGACTTGTGTTTTTGGACTCCAAGAAAGCCCATGCTGAAGTATTCAGAGGATGAAGAGTTAGAATTATAGCTTACATTTTTCAAAGTCACCTAGGAGATTGAGACAAAAGATCCTTTAAGTTTAAAAAGTTGTTTTAAGCCCGTGAATCAAATCCTTTTATATTGCTTTGAAAATTCCAATCATGAGAGAGACTTTACAGTTCTGTCTGTTCCCTAAAATGTACATCTATATTTACATTATAATCCTTGGTTCATTCTCTGAGTGCTTTATTTGCCATGTTCGTATTTTTTAAAACATAGTTAGCTTTCTACAACAGTTTGTCCTTGTAGGTGGCACAACGTTGGCAAAAGTGACTGCACATCAAGGTGTGGTCCAGGTTATCGGTCTATTGAGACCCGCTGCATGAAGTACTCTAGTTCAAAAGGACTCAGTGCTCCAGTGGATGATAGGCACTGTGCTGATCAGCAGAGACCACCAGCCAGAGAGCCCTGCCACGGTGACTGTATGTTAGCAAACTGGCACTACACAGAATGGTCAGAGGTACAAATTACAAACTTTATAAGTGTACCATTATAGTTCTGGTTAGCATTCATACCAAATTTTTATTTCTTTTTTATTTTTTTAGTTTAACTAAAAAGAAAAAATGTTTGATGAATACAGATTTATTGAAACAGCTAATACTAACCTTTATAATTCAGCAACTTTCTCATACTTTTGTAAGAAACTGTAGCTTGTTTGCAGCTTGGTTTTGGAAGTTAGCAGAGATCTGGGAGTTAAAGATGTGTGTTTTATTTACAGTCTTGATAATTTAGTTCTGAGAGTATTTTGAAGAAAAAAGTAAGTACAAATTCAATTTTATTCTTCATTCAAGAGTTGTATCTTGGAACTACTAAACAAAGTGCTGAATTTGTCTCAAATGGGCATATTGTCAGTCTGTGCATTATAGGAAGGACACATTTGGCTAGCACAATCATTAATGTCTTACACCTTTAAGATTAATAATGTATTTTTACCTGGTTTTATTGTGTTCTGTTTCCTGTTTTGTAATATTTTCTATACACTGCAGTGTTCCAGGAGCTGTGCAAGAGGTGTCAGAACCAGAGAAGCTTTTTGTATGAATAACTTGGGTCGTCGTCTTCCTGACAGAGAATGCCAGGAACTTCCAAAAGTTGTAACACAGAGTTGCAATGAATTCTTATGTCCAAGCTGGTCAGTTACTGACTGGAGTGAGGTAATGAAACCATGGAAAACTTAAGGCACATTTGGTCATAGTCATCAATATTAAAATAAGCTTCATTAAGTGTTTAGGGTTTTTTATTCTATTTTGGGGCACACAGCAGTAAAAATTCTGAAGTCTTATGATTTAGCTGATATACATCCCAGATGTATGAGAAAAAAATTACATGAGAACTTCTGTAAAACACTCCTAGAATTTATTTTTTCTCCGAGATTTTGTTACATTAATATGAGGTAGTGAAGCTACTTAAAGTAAATCTATTTACAGTAATATTATGCATGCCTTCCTTTTTATGAAGCAATGAGAACTATACAGCCAACTGAAGAACAGAATTATATTCATTTTATTACAGATTATATGACTATAAAAGAATTATGGTTAGTTTAAACATTTTTCCAGTGAAAGCTGTGTTATATGTACTCATATTTTAAACAAGTATTCCTTATTCTAATAGAAATAAATGATCTGTACATAGTTCTCATATTTTGTATCTTTAGAATGTTAATAGTGATTCCTTTGTATTAGCACCTGAGTTACTACTTACAGGAAATGGAGAGTTCATAAGAGAACTAGGGTTTTTTTGATTACTTACGTTCATGGAATATTTTTGTAATGTATGTGATCTTTAAAATCTGACAAATTACTAGAAGAAATTGAAGCCATTAATGTAGATTTATGTCTTTACAAACTGATGATTCTAATAATGTTACAGTGTCCTGTGACATGTGGCAAAGGAATAAAGCGTCGTCAAGTCTGGTGCCAACTTCACGATGAACAAATGAGAGATGACTTCTGTAATCCAAATGACAGACCAGAAGCAGTGACACCGTGTGAACTTCATGAATGTGCATCTTGGCAAGTAGGGCCTTGGGGATCAGTGAGTACATAAGGATTCCTAGCTTCTTGTTTTATAGTTCAGACTATGAGTGATCACAAAACAATACCTTTTAAACATTTTAGTTGAATCTTTAAGCAGTTATTTCAGTTGAATTGATTAACATGTTTGTTTGCAGGATCCTATTGGCTATCTAACTTGTAATTTAGGAACACCCACATGTAAGTTAGAATAGTCATTGATCCTGAACCTTAATATCAAAGACACTTTTGCACATCAATGTGTTACATCACCAGAATAATGAAAATGTGGATAGCAAACTGTTCAGGTGAATAAGACAGGTAAAAGACCAAATGTTTATAGGGGAGTGGGCATATTCAAGTGATAGCTACAATTAAGATCATAGAAGTGTATATACTAATAATAGTAGGCAAACGACTTAGTATTTTGTTGTTATGTTTTGTTTTTATCTTCAGTGATAAAAGATCTGCTATCTCTTTATGTGAAAATGCTGTTGAAATATATGTTCCTGTGTGTAATGATGCTCATCTAATGTATACCAGAGTGACTTCAAAATTCTAGAACAAAGTGAATTAATTTACGAAAGAACCTTTTGTCCCCAAATGAGAATTAGTTTAAAAAAAATAAGGTACTCAATTTCATGTAGCTTTTATAGATCACTTTATTCAAACCAACAGAAGTGTTGGATTATTCAGTGTTTCTCGTGTGTTAGTGAGAATTCATAACTGAAGAGCAGCTGATATTTATTTTTTTACGTATCTGTTAGTAAAATACAGAATAATTATACCTTTGGAAATTAAATACATTTTTCACTAGAATTTGGTTTATTTTTTTTACTATTTTTACCTTAGAGACAACCACCCTGTTGAATGTTGAATTCCTTTTGTATAACCTTTTGATCACAAGGTGATGGCTTTCCATTCCTACAAACTAAATTAGAAGATTACATAAAAAATTAATTCAGTCCCATGATAGAATTCTTCTGGATTAAAAATAGCATCCTGGAATAGCCTGTACAAGCAATTTCCCAACCCATGTCACTGGCGGAGAGCTTTTCATTGCAGTTTTTCTACTGTACCATCTGGTAGTAGCCATTCACAGCCAAGTTTTTACAAGTATTTGTGCTTGAACTACAACATTTATAGGATAGGATTTATGTCAAGTTCTTTTCAGCCATCTAATGTTTTAGTTGCCTGAAGTGTGCTCTTGTCGAACTATAATGGAGAGACATTAACAGCTGCAGCTAGCGATTCATTTGGAAGCCACTCCTTACTCCCACTTTCCTCCACTCCACTTTCTCTACACCAGATTTTATTGCTGAGCATGACATTATGTAGCATGGATTGTCCCTTTGACAGGATCAAGTCAGCTGCTCTAGCAGTGTTCTTCCCAGTTTCCTGCCCACCTCCAGCCTACTCACTGCAGGGGATAGAAGGTGTGAAAGAGAAAGCTTTTATCCTGCACAAGCACTGTTCAGCAATAGCCAAAACACTGGTGTGTTATGGACACTGTTTAAGTACCTTATGGTCTGCCACAAAGAAAGTTAACACCATCTCAGTAGTCATTCCTATTCATTCTGGAAAGAGTTTTAAAATAGAAAATTTAATAGAAGTGAAATTTGGTTATAAATGGTGCTATTTCAAGTGTGTGAAACTATTGACTTTAACAGTGTTCTGCAACATGTGGACGTGGATACCAGATGCGTGCAGTCAAATGTGTTACTGGGACTTACCGTGTTATTTTGAGTGATGACAGGCAGTGCAATGCTGCTACTCGTCCTAGAGATAACCAAGTAAGTTAAAAAATACCTCTCTACTTCTTAGTTAAAAGCATCTAAATACAAGTGTTGTCTACTGACTCTTTGAGGGAATTTGGTGGAAATAAGTTCTAAAATGAGGAAAGAAATTGTTGGAACTGTCTACTTTTTCTCACAAATGTCAAATTCAGCATCAGGAATAAAGCAAAAGAAGATTAATTTGGACATTGAAGGTTTCAAAATTTTGTATATGATTGAAGGGTGAGGGTATATGATTTGAAAGCATCCAAAGGCCTGTGATTATTTGGGAAAGCTCCAACCTGTAGAATGGGCACTACTTTCCATCGTGCTTCAGAAATAATAGTGCCTAACTGGCTTGGCATTCCCTAAAATTCTACTTGTATATAGTTCTTAAAAGAACAACATGGTTACTTGAAGAAAGATTCAGTAGCTGGAATAATAGTGATTAAAAACTTTGTAGAAATGGATTACAATTCAATATAGTTCCTTATCTTTTCTTACCTTGGTTTATTTATTTTATCACTTCGCTTAATTTAAATCTGTCATTTTTCAGAAGAAATGGTTCTAATACAGTCAGTGGGTTTATCTTTACCTGGAAGCAACTGATGTCTTAGGTGCTATTAATTAACATGTCAATGTGGCCACCACATTGATACATCTCATGGAAGTCCAGCTAAGCTGGAAACCATGTATCTCGTGAAGCACATATTCTGCCTCTAGTCTCAAGGAGAAGAGGGCAAGAAAAGCATTCTATGGTTCAGAGTAAACCAGTTACCAGCCATCTGGTACATGGCTTCTTGAATAAGATTTCTGAATATAAAAGCCAGTTAATTGGTATAAATTTATTTCCACTTACATGTGAAAACACTGAGTTTGAGTATGCTTTGTATTTTCAATTGTGGGACCTGTTTGGCTACTGACTGAAACTGGGCAAATTTGTGTTCTCAATAGGTAAAGGTATAAAGGACAGGACAGCACAGCCACTGTCTTTGCTGACTCCTGTACTGCCCGTGGCTATGAAGTAGGACACTGTAATGTCTATGTCCCTTGTCTCCAGCAAGTTGCCCCAAACTGTTCTTTCTCCAAGTGCCAATATTATTAGTTATTACTAATGCAGTTTTAACTTCAAATAAATTTTCTTTGATTCTTGATTTGAAACAAAACAAAACAATCTCTGAATAACTCCAGGGAGAAGTTAGCAGAGGGTATTTTCTTATTAATTAACACTGACTTATTGTAATGGTAGGATCTGTGTCTGCAGAGCCTTTTGCTTTACATTTGGCTCTTCCAAAATGTATATTTTGAAAGTTGTTTTTTTTCCTCACCCCCACAGGAATGTGAATTGCCCTCTTGTCCAGAAAATACAAAATTATGGACTACATCACTTCCTCTAGTTCATGGGGGGAAAGTGACCCAATGGAGATACGGATCATGGACACCAGTATGTAATGTAGCAGTCACATCTTGCAGAGCAGTCCTCCAATCATTGACCTATCTTTCCATAAAGCTCTCATTAATATATTTTTCAGACTTAAATCTACTTGGGGTAAATTAAAAAGGAATTATAATATTTTTTTAAGAGAAGGACCTGTTTCTTAAGAAGGGGATAGACACTCCCAGCAAACCATGTGCTTCAAATCTAATTGGGGAAAAAGAGAGGAAAAAATCAGGATTCTAGGGGATGGGACTGAGCAAAATAGTTTTCATATGATTGAGAGTGTGATAGGAAGTGTTTTTAAAAGTAATTGATCAGTCTCTGACTATGGAGAACATCTTTGATTTTAAAATATCATTTAAATCTTTTATGTGAATAGTAATATTAAACAGTTGGGGTCTTTAAAGGTCTAATTTGCCATTTTTTGTAAAATCAGCATTATGATAATGATTCCTACACAAACTTTCTTCAATGGAACTAAAATGTTCTGGAAGTTACTGATGTTTCTATTGTTAATAAATAAAAAAATTGCCTTTGCAACTGTGTAATTATTCCATGTTATTGTTTAAATGCTGCCTGTTTATATACTCTGAATTGCTTCATGAGAATTAAGGCTGTGCAATTCAGTTCCAAGCCAACAGGATTCTTAAGTCCCATACCATCCAGCAGTATTTCACTTTCCTTTCTGGATGCATGGTTCTATTATTGTGAAACGGAGATCTGATTTAATTCTGAAGCCAAGTTGATAGTAAGCTATGTTAGTATTTTAGATGTTTGCATGATCTTGGTTTGTTCTCCTGAAGTGTGATGAGCTTGGATTGTTCTCTGACAGTGCTCTGCGACCTGTGGGAAGGGTAATCGTGCTCGCTATGTGAGTTGTAGAGATGCTCATGGAGGAATAGCAGATGAATCTTTCTGTGCTCATTTACCACGACCAGCTGAAACTGCAAGCTGCTTTAGCCCATGTGGAGAGTGGCAAGCCGGAAATTGGTCCCCTGTAAGTATTAATGGTAAAATGTTTTGGTGTCTATTTAGATTATTGGCCAAAGCCTCTGTTTAGAAATTGGGAGTTCATATTTTGTGCAAGTGTGATTGAAATTGATTATATTGCAAATAATTAATTATCCCTTGAAAAAAATAAACTATATGTTTCTTCTTGTCGAAAATAAATATAAATGTCTCTGTTATTAATTATCAATTTCCTGTTTCAAACACTATGTTAATTTTTTGGTCAGTGCACAGTTACGTGTGATAATGGAATAGCAACAAGACAAGTTGTCTGTGTCAGCTATAATCAACAAATCACCGAGAATTACTGTGATCCTGAAGGCCGACCATCTAAGGAACAAGAATGTAACATGCCACCATGTCCACGGGTTTATCATCATATACCAAAAATGCATGACCCTCCAAGCCATTTTCCAGAAATAGGTTACCTCCCAGTACATCATCCACAAGACAATTTAAACCAGTGGAACCGTCCCTCTGAGGGAGGATATCAATGGAGAACAGGACCCTGGGGAGCAGTAAGAAGTTTTTTTAGAATATATTAATCTGTTCTCTCACGTGTGTTAACATTTCCAGAAATGTTATTGCAGTACAGATCTGGTTGAAAGAGAAGCACATTAATTTTAAAAATTATTATTATTGTAGTTGTTATTGTTATTCAGAATATATTAAATTCAAAATGTAAGTTTTCAGTAATTTCAAATTTAAAATACTTCTACATAGTAGTCATTTTTATTTGCAAATTTCAGTTTTGAAATTTAACGTTTAAAACCAAGTTGTTTTAACCAATATATTTTACATTTTTCTGATCATGGAATGGCAATACATATGTTTACATGTTTTGGTAGTGCTCTAGTACTTGTGCAGGTGGATTTCACCGTCGAGTCGTAGTATGTCAAGATAAGGAAGGAAGAAGTGCTAGTTATTGTGATGAGGCAACAAAACCTCCAGAGTCGAGACACTGTGATTCTGGACCCTGCCCGCGGTGGAACTTTGGGAACTGGGGAGAAGTAAGAGCATTTCATTTCCAAAGGGAAACATTGTTTACCACATAAGCTTAGAAATAGCAACATAATTATTTGACTGTGAATGGAACTGAACAGCTTTTTTTTACTTATTTCAAAAGAATGAGTTTCAACCTGTTTATCTATACTTTGTAATATATGTATAGTGTAATATAAACTTTGTAAATATAAATCCAGAACTGTAGTGGAAATATGAGTGGTGTAAACAAAAGAAGAAAGTATTGTGTGAGGCTAAGAATAGTGTTGCACTAGCATCTTGAATCTTGAGACATACAAAATTATATTCTGTTACAAAAAGATTAATTGTATGCAGAAAAACCTCAGTGCAATAGCTAGTCTAAGAAAAAAATGAGCACAAGAAGCTGTAGAGAAACTTTATTACATCTAATTTCATAGGTACTGACTAGAGTAACTGCAAGTAGTAGTAGCTACTGGCTTGTAGTCACAAATTAGAAGTATGAAGATAGGATCAGGCATCTAAAAGGTGTGCCTGGGTTAGAATGTTTTGATTAAGCATTTTATGCTGTTGGACAGTTTCTCCATGCCATGTGAAGTCATATCTCAACCATGCATTCTTGCTCAAACACTACAGAAAGAGCTAAAACTGATTAGTTTTGCATTTATTCTAATCTGACCTCATATGATTGCTGCCCACTTTTCTTATTCATGATAAATCAATGTGTTGAGTTGAAAAAAGAAGAAAAATTGGTTGAGTAACTTTTTTAGTTTACTTTTTTTGCCCTCGTTTTGTTCAGATTTAGCCATTCTGTTTTCAATGAATGTCATTTTCTTTCTGTCTATAGCCATACACTTGATATACAGTTACTGCAGATGCTGTAGTTTTTGTCTAATTTAGAATCCTTTGGAATACAGTAAAATGCTATAAACTATTATAGGTTGTTTTTATTAGCTCATTAGGAATGAGAATTAGTATTTTTGTCTGGTATTGCAGAATTACAGGCAAACTGAAACCCAGAAAACACATCCTATAAGTATTTTACACTTAGTCACTATAAATTAAACTATGTAAAAGTATGCCCAGTGTCTGAGTCTTTTCTAAGTTTTCTGCCCAGTGTCTGGCAGTGAAAACTAGTTTTAAGACAAATTTCCATATTTTTCTCTTAGTAAAGAAAGAGATACATGCACATTTATTCTCACAAATGTTTACTTCTCCCTGACAGAGTAGAGTCTTGCTAACTGAGACTTTCTGCAGAAAATCACTTGATAAACCATAAAAGTGTAGTTTGGTAAATGTTTTGGTGAGAGAATTTTTTTTCGTTACATAAGATTGGACTTTTAAGTCCTTATTCATCAACAGGATGTCAGGGGAATATGGAAATAAACATAGTAAGTAATAACATGTACTGATTATTGCTGTATCTTTTGGTTTAATGGTATGTGATGACTCTCTTAAGAAAATTATTGCATATAAAATTCTGTATTTCAGTGTACTCAGACTTGTGGAGATGGAATAAAAACAAGACTGGTGATTTGTCAGCTTCCTACTGGCCAAATGTTGGGTGATCAAAACTGTGAAATTCTAGACAAGCCACCTAATATGGCACAATGTAATGTGCATTCTTGCCCTGGTGATGTTTCATGGCATCGGGGACCGTGGAAATCGGTACGATAGCATTCACTAATATTTTTTGCTTTCTACTTCTTTGTGTCACTCTATTTCCCCTTGTCTTTTAAATGTTCTATTATTATTTGGTTTGATAACAGTGAAATAATAATGCATGTGGAATATAGGCTATGTATTTTTATTAACAAATTGTTCCTGCTGTCATTGAATTAAATGAGAAGCAGTCGTTTCTTTCAGTGGGAACAGTATCATGCTCTGTAAAAGATTATAGGGAATATTTTGAAAATTACCAGAAATCATCATAGTTGTTCTATTTTGAAGGGTTATGATTTGATCTGTGTTTAAATTTAAAAGGATATGCTGTAATTTATGCTCTAGTATTATCACATGTTTATATTTGTAAAAAGCCCCAAACTTTTTAGTGTATAACTCTTTTCTTACAGTATATTTAAGTATAAAATAACTTACACACATGTATATTACACTCTGTCATCAAACATTTTACTCCATATTACCTGTACATTTGTGTATAAAAGTTTATATTAGTAGTTTTAAAATAGGGACTAATTAAAAATATCTATGTATAATTACATATGTAACTATAATATGTTATTGTCTACATCTCACTGTCTATTAATGTGTAAAAATGCCTACTGTAATCACCATTAATCTTTAAAATTGCCACTAGCATATTATTAACATACTGAAGCAATCATAGCAAGCTCTGCAATATAGAATACATTATATTTTCCAAGCTGTGAATTTGATAACAATATTGATTATTGTGCTAAATTCTAAGAAGAATAATGGCAATCAAAGGAGGTTGGATCCAGTTCTGGTTCCATCAAAATCAGCAAAAAACCTGTCATTAACATCCCTGGGAGATGGGCTGGGATAACAGTTGTGTGGTTTTTCTATTAACATAAAGATGTAATTTACTTCTATGAATTAATATGGGAACGTTTTAAAAGTATTGTCCAATTTCCAATATAATAATTTACTAGTGTTTATATAATCTATTTTAATTTATTGCAAATAGACTGTAAAATGAAACTTTGAATTAATGGTTTACCACAGTTATCTCTTTCTTCCACTATGCAAAACAGAGTTTTGGTTTGTGTTTAGCAGGCACTATCTTATTTAGCCATTAGCCAAATAATTAATGGTGATTTGCTAATGCTTAATAAATGTGTGTACTTCAAGTGCTGAGAAGATAAGCAGGGTTCAGCACACAGTTGCCTTTGAACTCAATGTTTGTTCTCCTTTTAGAGCAAGAATTATTCACAGCCTGTTCATTCCTTCAGTGATGCAGTTTGTCCTGCATTAATGTTACCTGTAAGCTCTTACATTGTAAACGTTACATATGGCTTAGTTTTATAAAGATTTTCATGTTGGTTTATATCTCAATTGATATGAAAAGCCATTTTAATCCTTAAAAAACTAAGTTTAGAGTTGATTCTATTTATCAGAGAGAGTTTGTGGCTCTGTGGTTAATCTGTAAAAGATTTAATTTCATTACACTATCACATGGTGGTGTGCAGAAACAAATGTAGCAGATTCAGGAAATAAAAGCAGGCTCACGTATTGAATATGCTGTCACATTTTAGATAGTCTGAATGCTGCCAACACACAATCTTTAGTTATTTTTTGTTGCTGTTTAAACAGAGCAAAATATATTCATTGAGGATGACTATTATAAAGGAGCAATAAAAGCTTTAGTCGCAGGAACACTGTTGTAGCCTAGCACAAACAGCTTTTTTTAGCCATGATTGACTAGTGATATGTTAGTTTGGCCCTGACTATCTTATGCATTTTTGACAAAATAGATGCTCTAATATAGGAAACTGTTAATGGCTGGAGACTGAAGTCCTCAAGCCTGCCATATCTATGCTTACTCCCTTCTCTATAAAGACAGCAAGAACCAGATAAAACACTGCTTATATTTTTCATAAAAGTATCAAGTAATATTTATGTGTCAGGACAGCAATGGAGTGCACTTTTGCGTCTACTAGTGAGATTCTAATGTTAAAACTTAAGCAGAAACTGAGATGCAAGAATTCCCACTTGTAGCTTAATTTTGTGTGATAGATTCTGCCACCTTTTCCTTCTGACATGCATGGCAAAGATAATACATGGAGAAGGTGAGTAGAAAGAAGGGAATTTCTGACTAATTGCTTTACCTGGAACAACTCCTTGACATGCTTGAATATGGGCTCTTCTCTGGCCCAGCCAGTTCAGAAATGTGTATCAAAATTGCTTAAAACTTTTCCTTATTCTGATGTAGCTTTGTCTAAACCATGTCTGAACTAAAAGCTTCACTCATGGATTATTCCAACTTTTTCATAGCAAGATAGTTTCCTGTTGTATTTTAGATACCAGCAGAAATAGATTCAGGAAAGGTCAAATTAGCTAAGACTAATTCAGAACCCTGAGTCAAGAACCTGATCCACCATGCAGAAGGATTGTTTTGGTCTAGCCGTTGTCAAAATCTTTTGTGCTTTCTTCAATATTGGGGCATTCTAGCTTCTTTTTAGCCAAGAATTCTAGCAAGAAACAACTGAATATGGCACTTAGTGCCAAGGTCTAGTTGACAAGGTGGTGATTGATCAGAGGCGGGACTAGACGATCTTGGAAGTCTTCCAACCTTAGTGATTCTATGAATCTAACTTCTTCCAGTAGCTACTGTTATATATTTGAGAATAGGAGGCTTTTAGCCAAGTATATTTCTTTCAGTTATTGGTTAATTTTACACAGTGTAATTAAAATAAAACATATCTTGTAAATGCACAATAGGGCAGTTGCAAGGAAGGCTCTGTTTATGATTTGAAGCCAGAATTTCGGCTGATGCTTTCTGCAGTTTAGCAGCTATGGGCTGTTACACTTTGCAATGTCTGTCTGTGGCTGCTGGAGCTGATCATCACAAGCTTAAAGGCTCTGTGCTCCTCTCTTGCTGGTTTCTGCAGTTGTCCAAATGGATGTGAGTCAAGTAAATCTCAAATTCTGAAGGCTCATACCAGTCCAGGAAGCTTTATCAGAAACATCATGCATATGCAGAAACTTTGATTTTTTGGTAATCTGTGAATCTTTAATTCGGTCCAGTATTTTCATATAATAATATTGAAATCAGAAAGACTCTCTGAAGTTTTACAGGGAGGATGGTTAGGAAACACATCCTTATGCCTGTAAGTTAAATTCATTTGATCTGATGGTCATTGAGAGACTCTGACAATGATCTTTTTAGAATGTGTCTTATGTCTTCTACCCCCTTAGTTTTGTTCAAGTTTCTAAGTGAATTTTCTTTAGTAAGAACTGAATCATGTTCATTCGTTTTCCTCTTTTGTTTTCTTGATTGCCTTTTTACCAAAATTCAGAGGAAATGGAGTGGATTTGCACCCAGTCCATTCATCTTGAAGGACTTTGCCTTTTTTTTAAAGAACATTGGTGTCAATTTTTAATGTAATTGAGCTTGATAAATATTATACAAGCATTCCTAAATTCAAGTGTTTCAAAATTTGAAACATTTGATTTCAATTTCATTGCCAAATTGTTATGTGCTTAAGTAGACCAGCTCTTTTTTGATATATAGAAATGACAATACAGATGTATATATTTTGATATGCAAATATATGTAATGTATTTATGAGTTAAATAATACTTGAGGTAAATATAGCTGCTTATTTTAATGTAGTTGCACCTCCGCTACTCTAATTTCGTTGGTGAAGGGATTGAGGCAATGTTACAAAACTTCATGAAAGAATGAAGAAAGTACAAGCTAAAAAGTATGGAAAACACGTCACATTATCTAATGTCAAGAAAAATTGCATAGCATTCTGACAGCTGGCTAAGAATACTTTGTTCTAGTATAGATTTTTATTGTATCCCTTCTTTCCAGAGTGCATTGTTGGATTTCTGTGTTTAGTCCATGCAGTAAGACTTCTGGTTTATTGTATTAATTTTCATCAGAGTAGTTCTGGTTTTCTGAACTTAATGAGAACCAGTTGTGTTTTACTTAAAGCATGAAAAGAGAGAGTATTAGAGAGTATTACAAATTTGCAAAGACACCATAAGGTTTTTAAACTCAACCATAATTAGTAGATTTAACAATTTTGTGCTATAAGAGTTGTAGAATAATCTGTCTTGAGTTCAAGAATGATGCTTTGTTACTTTCAATACTAAGCTTTTTTTCCTTTGAGCAGTATTTCCTATATCCACATGCTTTAGTATTCTTAGCCAAACAATTGTCTGTAACCTGACAAAAAGTTATATGGGAATACAATCAAATCAAATGTTGTTTGGATCAATGGTTATGTTTAGGCACAACAAATCTGCAGATACATAGTGCACATATGGTTATAGTCTTGAAAAGCTTTCAAGTATAGCATGCTAGAGAATAAAATATTATTTTTAGTAGTACTTGGCTGGGAAATAATTTGATATAATTTGTAGCAAGTTAGGAGATTTCTTGTGCCAAAACCCTCGCCTGGTACCTGGGCAAAATGTGTAATGTGCACATACGTTTTGTTTTACTCTTCCCTCTGCTGTTCAGCAAGTGATAACTCTTCTACAAATCTAGTATGCATTTCCTAGTGGAGGTTTTCCTTCACGTCAAGGATTGTATTTGAGTACTAAGTGAAGCATCACCTTTTTATCTTAGTTTTCTTTAGGGTTTTGGTATTTATCTCTTGGTTAAATGGTCATATCTTCCTTACTAGTCTCTTTTTTTCTATGCCACCTAGTTTGTTGCCTGCACAATAGAAAACAGTGTATCTTTCTCAAAATTCCTGATATATATCTGCTTTTATTGTGCTGTGTACCTTAAATTTTTATATATTTTTCTAAAAATCTTAGGGAACATGGGCAGGTATTACACTGGGGGAATAGAATAAGCTATTCATATATGGGAAGACAATACCCTCAGGCTTCACGTAGTGAGGAAAGTTTGTTCACAGTTTTGGATGACAAGAATTTTAATATATTTAGGAGCTTGACTTTATTTTTGGCCCCCTGTGGAACATTTTAACCTGAATTATTCTAACTTG